CCCGGGTCCCCAGGGAGCAGAGAGCCCCCGCTCACCATTTCTGCATCTCGCAGTTGGGGTTGCAGCTGTGGTTGATGAAGCGAGCCTCGTTGCCCATGCGGTAGCTGTCGATGACCATCCCGCTGTCCAGGTTCAGGCAGTAGTGGTCGCTGTGGTTGTGGTACTGCTCGATCATGCGGTTCCTGCGGGACACGGGGAGCCCCCTCACTCTGCCTGTCCCCCCCTCAGCAACGGGGAGCGACACGGCCAGAGCACGTTCAGGAGTTCTCAGAGGGGGGTTGGAAGGATAAAAGTAATGGTTTGTATTTTACAGAGCCCTACACCTAGAGAGGGAGGAAAACCATGATTGTACCTATTTTTATAAGTCAAGGCCACTGACAGAGCTTGGGTTAGAATTTAGAAATTTGCTCTTCTGGAATGCTCCCTTTTGGGTTCTGCAGATTATGTGTACACATTTCATGGTGATAACCTGTGTATGGAAGAGAAAATGCAAGTATACATTCTTTGGGGTGTCTGTGTATGCACGTGGACAACAACCAGCTGCTTCCTGGGGGCTGGACAGTTCCTGGAATCACATCCATGGATCACAGGAGCACAGTGACAGGAGTCAGTGTTAGTGGTTATCTCTGTATGAGGAGACTGCAGCTGCCTTCTGGTGGAGCTCTGAGAGCAGCAGGTCCCTCCAACCTCAAATATCCCACGATGCTACAGAGTGAACAAGACAATTTCTTTCTTTCATTGGTTATTAATGCTCCCACTTGGTTTCTTTTTAACTTCACACCCACCTGCAAAAGCCCATGTCACTTCCAGTCCCACTCTGCCCCTCAGTTGTACCTGGCACTGTCCAAATCCTGCCCAGTTCTCATTTGGACTCACAGTCACTCGCAGCATTTCACGTTTACAGGGCAGATGAGGCACAGAATTCATTCCAAACACTCATTCAAACTCCTCTCCATTGAACTGAGAACAACTTGACTGATCTAAAAATGGGAATTCTAAGCCTCCCTTCTGGCTGTGACCAGAACAGGATTCCTTATCCCCCCCTTTGTTCCTGTCTAAGGATATCCCCCCCACGACCACAGATGCCAAAGTCACTCATTGAGCCTTCCACGCCAAAGCAGCAAATAAATATTTCTACCTGAATTCCTGCTCACTAACAACTTCTCCCAGATATTCAATGATAAACTGTCCTGCTTTCAGGGGCTCTTTGGTACGAATACCCCATCCTTTCTCCTCGGCCCGGAACCTCTCCAGGCACTGCACCCACTCGTGCCTCTGGATGCGCTGGTTGCAGCACTGCTCCCCACAGGGGCACGTGTTGGGGGAACACTCTGCAAAGATCATCCTGAAACACACAACAGGGGAGGGGGAGAGCACGCTCTGAGAGCTGGAAGAGACACAAACCAACAATAACAAATGAAACAAAAGGTGCTGAGGAACTACAACGCTGTTTGTTTTCAAGGGGCGATTCCCGTAGTGATTCCCAGCCTGGCTCTCACTGATACTCAAAGGGCAAAATGGAGCTTTTAATGGGATCTTCCTCTGGAGAAGAGGGGGATTGTTAATTTTGAAGGGATTGTTTCTCTGGCAGTGCTGAGGAATCCCCTGGAGCAGGGAGCTCAGCCTGGGGGGTGTCAGTGGGACCCCCTGATGCTCAGACTGGGAATTTTCCCTCCCAGCCTGGACCCCTGTGACGATGCCTTTCCTGCTGGGGTTGCATCCAGCACAACTCTCTTCCTAAGAGATGATGTGAAATAACCCAAGGAAGCCATTCTGACCTGTTCAGACAGTCCTCCACACAGCCCTTCCCACTGTCATCCTCTGGTTTCTTACAGTTGCAGGTGGTGGCCTCGTAGCCAGAGAGGGGTTTGACATCCACGTAGACATCTGTAGGAGAAAAAGAGAAAGAAAACAAACCCAAACAAGGAAAAGGATTCTTCCCAGGTGAAAAAACCAGAACTGCTTATCTACAGTATTTTCATTGTAGGAAAAAAAAGAGAAAGAAAACAAACCCAAACAGGGAAAAGGATTCTTCCCAGGTGAAAAAACCAGAACTGCTTATCTACAGTATTTTCATTCCAATTAAATAAAACAAAACAAAAAAAAAAGAGCAGGTGGAAGTGACTTTGGCAGGACAAAGAGCAGGACAGAAAGAAGAGGTGTCATGTGAAAATTCCACAATTAACAGTTTAGTAATAAGATTTTACTTACTAGAACGGATTTTTTTGTAAAGTGGGACATCTGGCTTTTTATACAACTGAAAAGAAGAGAAAGAAAATTTTAATACATTGCATAAGTGCATCTGTTATTCAAAAGGATCAGGGAAATGATGTTCTGTTACATAGGGAACAGTTCTGTAATCATTCCTAGAAATCTGCATTCTCTTCCCTAGGCTCAGACTGCATTAGCAAATAGGTCACAAAAAGGATGTGAATAAGTAGAACCTGGGTTTAATGAGACACTGGAGCAGTTTGTCCACCCCATGGCTTGTTCTGTGTGCCCAGAGCAACGTGGGAACCAGCTGTCCCAAGGACAGGCTCCTCTGGACAGGGCTGGAAAGAAGGGCAATTATTTAAACCTGCTTTGGGGAAATCATCTTTGGTGGAGTCACCACGTGCCAACGCTTGAAAAAGTGAGGTAGAAAAATCAAGGTGCTTGTCAAAGCTACCCAATGACCTCAAGGGCCTTTTCTAATCTAAGGGATCCTCTGAACACTGTGAGTACAGGTGGGAGAAATGCAGATTCATCTTCTCATCAGAGGAACTTCCTCTGCAGATGGAGATGGCAGGAGGGAAAAGGGAAGCTTACACCACAATTCATAATAATTTCAGATATATTCCAGCCTTTCAGACAAGCTTTGAGGAATAACTGGAAATTATGTGTGTGTTTCACACACATTTCCTGCACTAAGAGCCCTCCCTCAGTGACACACAGGCACGACCCTGACACCTCCACACCCCTGCACAGAGAAACTCCTCTGCAGGGGCCTCTGACATTCCAGGGAGAGCTGGAAAATGTCAAGGAAACAGATTCCATGTATTTATTATTTATGGAATACCCAGCAGACGAGACAGGCAGATGCAACTCAGCGTCAACACGAGGCAAGGAAGTGCCCTCAGCTGAGGTGTCCCCAAGGCCCCCAACTTGAGGATCAGATTCCAGGGGCCACAGTACCTGGGAATTTGTCCTGCTAATTTACATGCTCAAGTTACACAGCTGAGAGCACTTTCTTGCCACAGAGCCAGGGACAGACTCCCCCCCCCCCCAGCCTCAAATCCTGTGGTAAATCTCTCGGTGGAAACTTCTCAGGGGAAAACAACAAAAAACCCCTCCTATTTTTAGGCTCGCGCATATTTAAAGCTCTTTTAAAGGGAATGAGCCCCGTTCGATGACGGTTCCTCTTCTTCCCTCAGCAGGAAAATTTCAGCTCGCAAGTGAAAAATAAATTCCACTCTGCTGGGACGGATCCAAGGAAAATAAGGGCTGAGATTCCTCCGTGCTGCTGGCAGAACACCCCAATTCTCCCGGGGCGTGTCTGGGACCAGCTCCCTGCACGAGGCAGCGCCGCCAAAATAAGAGTCTGCAGCCAAATCCACGGCTTTTGCCAGCACAAACTCCCGGGGTTGCTATTTTGCAAGAGAGGGAATAATGGGAATTATCCCCATTAAACACATATGCAAATCTGCAAATCCTTTCTCTCCTCACACAGTGGCAGCAACAAGATGTTCCCCAGCAGGCAGGATGTGCAGACACAGCTCTCGTGTGCTGCCGATTCCTTTCTGAGGCTTCTGATCCCAATCTTGGCTTTTTATCTCCTACCTGGTTGTGTTTCCACTGCCAGAGGATGTCGTAAGGCAGCTGGAAGTCGATTCTCTTTTGTCTGAGGTACTTTCCTGGAACAGAAAGGTTGGTAAGTGGCACACACTCATCTCCACGTGTCCCCGGAGGACGGAGCTGCTCCAGGCACCTCGCCAGGGTCTGGCAGGGCTCTGGAAGGGACACAGGGGAGCAGAAGCCTCCCAGAACATTCTGTCTGTCAGGGCAGGCCCGGGGAAGAGCCTCTGTGTCTGTGTTCTGCTCTCCTGCCCTGCTCAGGTGGGACCTGCCAGGGACAGGCAGGGAAGGTGTTGGCTCAGATCTGACCACAGCGCCTGGCACGAGTGACCACAGCACTGAGAGAGGTGACCACAACACCTGAGAGAGGTGACCAAAACATCTGAGAGAGGTGACCACAGCACCTGAGAGAGGTGACCAAAACATCTGAGAGAAATGACCATAACATCTGAGAGAAATGACCACAACACCTGACAGAACTGACCACAGCCCCTGACAGAACTGACCACAACACCTGAGAGAACTGACCACAACACTTGAGAGAACTGACCACAGCACCTGAGAGAACTGACCATAACATCTGAGAGAACTGACCATAACATCTGAGAGAACTGACCATAACATCTGAGAGAACTGACCATAACATCTGAGAGAACTGACCACAGCACCTGACAGAACTGACCATAACTTCTGAGAGAAATGACCACAACATCTGACAGAGGTGACCACAGCCCTGGAAAGAGACAACACCTGGCACCACTGACCACAGCCCTGGGAAGGGACAACAGCACCTGAAACAACTGACCACAACACCTGAGAGAAGTGACCACAGTCCTGGGAAGTGACCACAACACCTGGCACAACTGACCACAGTCCTGGGAAGTGACCACAACACCTGACAGAGGTGACCACACCCCTGTGAAGTGACCTGACAGAACTGACCATGGCCCTGGGAAGTGACCACAACACCTGACAGAGGTGACCACAGCCCTGTGAAGTGACCACAACACCTGACAGAGGTGACCACAGCCCTGTGAAGTGATCACAACACCTGACAGAGGTGACCACAGCCCTGTGAAGTGACCACAACACCTGACAGAGGTGACCACAGCCCTTTGAAGTGACCTGACAGAACTGACTGTGGCCCTGGGAAGTGACCACACCACCTGACAGAACTGACCATGGCCCTGGGAAGTGACCACAACACCTGACAGAGGTGACCACAGCCCTGTGAAGTGACCACACCTGACAGAAGTGACCACAGCCCTCTGAAGTGATCACAACACCTGACAGAAGTGACCACAGCCCTGTGAAGTGACCCTGTGCCTTCTCCATGAGACAGCTCAAGGCCAAGAGGTTCCCCTGAACTCTCCTGTGCACAACCCAAGGCTTCAGCACAGGACAAACCTGCTGCACTGCCCCAGCACGATGGTAAATCCCAACACTGCACTCAAAGAAATCAAATCAGGTTTAAAAATAGCCTCCAAGCCTGTTCCTGTGACCTTTACCAGAAGAGATTTAAGAATGAATTCAGACTTGGCAAACACATTCCCCAATGTTTTGGAAAGGCTTCAAGATGCTCTGTATTTTCAGCAATAACTGAAACTGTTTCAGACAGAAATCGGTGCTTTCACTGCAGATTCTGGCTCTGCTCTGACATTCCCTGTCACCCCAAAAGGACCCTGACCCATGACATCATTCATTCCAGACCCCAGGGCTGACACTGCTGAGTTCTAGCCAAGATTAAACATTCTCTGATCGTTTTGCTGGAATCCTGTGTCCCAAAACTGCAGTGAGCAGGATGAGGTGTCACTCCCAGGTCTGATTTTCCCAGCTTCTCTCACTCTCAACAAGTGCCTTTATGTTCCTCCAGCAATGGTTCCATATAAATTCACACACCCCCCCTCTCCACTGGAAAATAAAAATGGTAATGTTTTCCTTACAATTCCCCCCTAAATTACTTTTCATTTTCAATGCCTTATTCATCCCTACAAGGTTCCAGGAAAGAGCTAAATCTGCTGGGAATTTGCTTTCACTCCTGTGACCTCAGCAGCCCAAACAAAGGGCTCTTTCAGGTGCCCTGGCACCGAGCCTGGAGCAGGGGAAGGTCCCTTTCCCCCCCCTCAAGTGCAGTGCCCTGGCAGAGTCCCAAAGCTGGCCACTGCTCCGGGGTTAAACCATCCCCAGTGCCCTGGCTGGAGCCCTGGGAGCAGCTCAGTCCCAGGGCAGGAGCTGGAATGTGGCAGCAGCACCAACACTGGGAGTCGGAGTGTCCTGGCAGATGCCACGGGAAGGTTTGATGACCCCCATTCAAACAGGAACTCACAGAGGGTAGGTTTGGGAGAATGCTGAGAACTTTAATTACCACCTTCAGCTCTGAAACCTGCTCTGTGGTCCCTGATTCCCACAGACCTGGCCAACTCTTCTGCCTGGCTGGGGGAGCCAAAGTGGTGCGTGGAGCAAAACTTCTCAGCTAAAGAAGACAAGCCAGTGACACGTGAGTGTTGGATGGGACAAATATTCCTGCTGAACAAAGTGGAGTGTCCCAAACCTGCCTGGCATGACGGGACTTGCAGCAAGAAACCACAGCACTTCAAAAGCTGAAACAATTACCTGAGAAGTTACTCAACCTTGGTTCATCCTGGGAAAGGATGGGAGCTGCACTTTGGGAGCTCAGGGACATCCCATCCCTGGGAGCAGCATCCCAAGCTCCAGCAGCTCCAAGTGCCTGGGCTAGACTTGGGTTACAGCTTCTTTCCACAGGCACTTCCCTGGAAATGTCCAGGTTGGACGGGACTTGGAGCAACCTGGGCCAGGGGAAGGTGTCCCTGCCCATGGCAGGGGGTGGCACTGGATGGGCTTTGAGGTCCCTTCCAATCCAAACCATGCCATGATTCTGTGATTCTGTGAAACCCTAAATCCCATTTTTGTCCTACCCAACACCTAAGAATGGGGATAAAATAAAAACCCAGATAACAGCAAAGCTTTTCATTCTTCCACCCTTTTGTCCATGTTTAAGGTCAGACACAGGGACAAGTGGGAATTTATTATTCCATGCTCAGCTTTTTGGATTTAACAAATGGTCATAATTGTCTCTGGCTACTCTGCTGCAGCTTTACTCTGAGGAGGAGACTCTTGCTCTGCATTTCATCTGAGGGTTATCACAGCTAAAGCAGGTTTGAACACCAGACTGGCATTTCAAAAAATGAAAACAAAGCTCACGTGGCAAGTCAAAAAAAGCCTCCTGAGCCCCAACTTGTGCCCTGGGGAGCACAGAGAGATGAGCGTGGCCCTGGGCAGAGCTCAGGGCAGACCAAAAGGATCAAAAGAGGGAAGAGGGAGAGAGCAGAGAGCTGGGCAGTGCAGGGGATCCCCACCTCA